TGGGGAGTGGAGCATGCCAAGTCTTTACCACCACTTCACCAGACAATTAACTATTGTCTGGAAGGGGGAAGGTGTGGTGTGGAAGACAGATGCTCTCCAGAGAGGGGGATCCTACCTCTGGCTCTTCTGATCCCTGGCTGTGGAGGCTTCAGACCTGTTTTTTATCTATAGAGAGAAGGGGCTGGGATTGAGGGGCTCTGAGGATCTTCCTTCCATTGACTCCCCACAAGACCGCTCAGGCACTGACCACATATGCAAAGTCAGACGCAGTGGAGGCTGGCTGGCTGCATATAAGGGGATCTAGGGTCTGTCTGATTACGGAGGCCCAGGCTGCTGTGATCTACAGGCCACACCCCCAGAGGCACATACTTCCTCGGTAAGAGCCCCCCGTCTTTCAGACGCTGCTTTGATCTCTCCCCTGAATTCTCCTCTGGAAAAAAAACCAGTAAAAGGCCCCGGCACATACCCTCTAAATGTAAGACATTCCTGTTACGGTGGTTGGTATTGTTATTTTTATGGAGGAGGGAGTCTGCCCAGGGTTCTTCAACTTTTTAGCCTAGAGTTTCAACCCTCCCTCGACCCCCAGGGAATTCCTGAAGGTGGAAAACGCCCTTCCCACCCAAAGGACTGGATCATAGAGAGCAGGATGGAAGGACAGTGACATCAGTCTTCTTATCTGTAAAATGGGGCAGTGAGAGCGTCAGTCCCTCAGGGAGGTTGTGGGGACTGAAAGAGGTAACGCTCACAGCAGCGGCTGCTGTATGGACCCTATAAACGTGAGACGTTCTCATCAGGGGTGCCGTTACTCTCACTGTTGGGGGAGGGGAGTCCGCCTGGCACCCCCCCCCCCCCCCCCGCCGGTGCCCACCCGGAAGCTGGCTGCTGACACCATAGATCCTACAACTTGGATCTAGCTGTCTGAACTCGGGTCCCTCCTGCTTCCCAGCACACCCTCTGCCCAGCCCCTGGTGACATCCGATTTCCTCCGTTTGGGACATTCCAGTTTCTTTCTTCACAGCAAGCAAATCAAGTAACAGGCAGCTGGAGCGCTCATTAAGGGTCCCAGCCCAGAAGAGAGGCACCGATGGGGGAAGAGTTGGGGCCTGAGGACTGGAAGCCACACTGCCAGCTCCCCATGAGCTGGCTCCCCGCCCCCATCCTCCTCTCCCCGCTCTGACCCTCCCCTCCCCCACGGCCAGGCCCCTCAGATCCAGGCCTTCTGCTAACATCTGCCTCTGGCCTGCCTCATTCCAGGCTCCTCTCCCACCGGGTCCCCTCAGCCTGGCCTTCCCTGCTGGCCCTTTCTTCCACCCGCCTTCCAGATCCCCACACCCAGCATGCCGCTTTCCCCCCTGGGCAGGGGGGGTGGTTTGCGGTGCCCCTGGGTTCGTGCCTCCAGGCCACCGCACAGGCTGTGTGCTTCACCGGACTGCCCTGTCCAGTGCCCTTCTTCCATCTTCCAGGGAGTGGCCAGGCCCACCTGCTGCAGGACGGATTGTCTGCCCCAGCTTCCGGGGAGCACTCGTACAGTCCTGGGCACGGCCTTTGGTGGGGGCACCTTCTAGTGCATCCTCCCACCTGCCATCTCCTGAAAATCTCACAGCAACCCCAAGAGGGAGGCAGAGCCTGGGCGTTACAGAGGAGGAGCCTGAGGTTTAGGGGGTGGCATGGCTTGCCGAAGGCCACATGGCTGGGGGCAAAGCCCAGCTGGAATCCCGGGGTGGGGTCCCTCCACTCACGGGGTGCCTGTGTGCCCTTTACCGAAGGAGCCCTCCACATGTGCATGTCGCAGAATCACTCTGCTAACAAAGCCACTGCCCGGGCTCTCCTCTGCCTTTTCTTCCCTCTGGGGGATCTGATGGCCCCCCGCTTCTCCCTTCCCCGCCTCACCCCTGCCTCACCTTTGCCCTCTGCTCAGCCCTGGGAGAGCACACCTAGGAAAGGGACTCCTAGGGAGGAGGGAGGCCTCAAGTTGCTCCCGGACACATTTGCTGGCTTTGCTCCTAGTGCAGTGCTGTCCCACGGAACTTTCTGTGAGGATATACATATTCTGTGTCTACGGCGTCCAACAACTGGCAACCACTAGCCTCGGGTGTCTCTTGAGCCTACTTGAAATGTGGCTAGTGTGACTGATCACCTTAATTTTAGATGTATTAAGTTGTAATTAATGAAGTATAATGGGTCTCACGTAACTGCAGTGGACCGTGTAGCCCTTGGAGTGTCCCTTCATGAACCTCTGGACCACAGGCCCCACCCAGGGCATGCCTCCTAGGGCCACTCCCCATGGACAAGGCCACCTGCCGCCTCCACCCATAGGACGGGCCCCTCCCTCTGGCTCCGGTGCCCTCTGCTGTTGACCTCACTTCCCACCGGTTTCACTCACTCCTCTCTGTCCCCACCTGCAGCCCAGTCCGGGCCCCAGCCCCCTCTGGCCTGTGCTAGCCGCTTGTTTGGCCTTCCTCTCTGCCCTACTCTCCGCCCCATTCTAGGAACATACCTGCCCTTCTATGGCTCCCCATTGCCCTCACATAGATCTAACGGCACCTGCTGACCCAGGCTACCCGTCTCTCTCCAGTCAGATCTTCCACCATTCAGCTCCCCAAGGCAAACCGCACCCCCGCCCCCCACTCTTCCAACCTTCAGAAGCTGTTCTCTGCCCCTTGGAACAGGCCCCTCCACTCATCCCTTTTGCCTGGAAGTCTCCTATTCACCCTTTAAGGCTTCACTTGAAAATCACTTTCCCAGGAAGCCACTGCCGTCAGGTATGTTGCATGTTGATACATTCCCCAGACCTCCTCCGCCTCTATTATCGTAGCATGTTTCACATGACATGGTCACCGCCCGTTGTCTTTTTTTGGGTCCTATTTGTCTGTAAGTTTAGGAGGGCAGATGTGTGACACCCGCCCCCCAACCAATGCCTGATCCACGCCAGCTCTCAGAAACATTTGCCAAGTGAATGAATGAAAATGGTCAAAGGAAGGTGGCAGGACAGAGTGAAGAGCCAGGGAAGTGGGGTCAGTAGCTTAGGTTCTAGTTCTGGGTCTCATCATATGACTCGGGGTAACCTACTGCCCCTCTGCGGTCCTTAGTTTCCCCATCTGTAAAACGGGGGTCAGTTCAGATGCTCTAGCAGATGAGAGGTCTCAGAAGTCAGTAGGTACACAGGAAGCTACGGGTTGCAGAGGAGGAATCAGCACGTCAGATAACATTGTCAGTCCCAAGGCCCGGAGAGCGAGAGACTTGACATGGTTAAGTCTCAAGCAGAGGAAGCAAGGATTTGGGGCATGCCCTGGCCAGCAGGAGGGGCCAGGAAGAGGAAAGGATGGAGAGAGGCTTTGAGAGGGGCTCCCAGAGCCAGATGCTTGTCCCTCTGCTGTCAAGGACCCTGAGATACCTGGCGGGAGCCCTGACTGCCCGAACACCATCTCCACCACCCAGCCAGTCCCACGTGCACTGTCAACCAGCTGGCAAAGGCTGCCTGCCTGTTGAGCCCAGACACTTCCCAGGGGACTGTGGGTGGCCATCCCCTGGGTCCTGGCAGGGCATGGGAATGAGCTGCCGGCAGTGGTCATGGGTGTGCCGCTAGTCTCAGTAAGCTTGTCCTGGGACCACCCTCTCTGCTCTGGCCCTGTGGCCTCCCTCTCGGTGTCCACCCTGGAAAGGTGTGTGGCAAATTATCAGCCTTTGCCTGGCAATGGAACCTGAGAGAGGCCTGGCTGTAGGGAACTGGTACCTTGTGCCAGAATGATCCCAGGGCCCACCACGGTTAGAACTGGGCTCGGATGCTCACCACGACCACAACCATGTTCGAGCTCAGAGGAGTGAGGGTATTTGCCCCAGGCTGCACAGCTTTTAAGTAGCAGAGTGGGGATAAAAACCACCTCCCTGCACTTTACTGCTCCTACTAAGTAAGAGGCCCCCTCTGAGTTCTTCCTCAGGGGAACTTTCCAGGCTGTTCCAGGACCTCTTCCCAGGCCACTGCTGCCCTTACCTGTGGGTCCTCCCCTTCATTTGGGCCCTGGATCCCTTGTGCTGTCCAGATCCTTATAAGTCACCAAGACTCACACTCTCACTGCCCAGCTTTTCCTCTGGTGGCACCAATGAGACTGTATGTCCCTCCTTCCTGGGTGAGTTCTTTTCATGTACTCCTAAGATTGCCATGGCCAAGAAACACTAGTGGCTTTTAATCCACTTAGGTTCAAGGACATTTCGGAAGTGGAGAAAGCTCAGCATCCTTTCCCCAGAAAAACACGCAAACACGAAATGGTGGGGACCATCCCAGGGGACCAGGGATAAGAAACAAGAGAGTATGGGCTTACTCGGTCCCAAGGACAGTAGAACCAGGGCGACCCACACCTGGGCCCTAACAACCTGGGGCAATGGGCCGTGATCGGGACACCACTCCCTGCAAGGACTGCCCCTTCTGTCCCCCTCAGCCCCTTGGATGACTCACTCCCTCACACCCTCTTCCCAGCTGAACGTGGCAATAAAAGTCAGGCAGCGCTGATCCTCGAGGGATGGATGGGGAGGGCCGCGGGGGCCCAGCAAGCCCTGGTCGGGGCCACCGGGCACATATCCCGCCGCGTGGGCGCTGGGAGGCTCTCACACCGCCCTGGCGGGCTGCCTGGAGGCAGAAGCAGGGCCTGGCAGCTTCCGCGCGCCTCCGCGCGCCATGCCCCGCTCCACCTGCCCAGCGCGCCCAGGCGCTCTCTGCGCGGGACGCTGGGGGCGCCTGCCGGCGGCGGGAGCGGAAAGGTCCCACGCAAGCAGCCGGGGTCCTTCGGTTCCTCCGAGTCCACCGCAGGGCAACGTCCGTCCCCGCCCCCACCCCCCGGGGGGGGGGCCCCACCCCCGCCCCCAGCAGACGGCTCCTGCGAGGCCCCGGCGCACCGCGCCGCTTGGAGAGCAAGAGCCCGCGGGCACCGGCTGGTCGAAAGTTTGGAGGCTGCGCGAGGGGGCGCCGCGGGCAGGGATAAAAGCCAGTAACAAAGAGCACAGACCTCATCCAGCAGTTGGTTGACTCGTCCCAAAATAGCCGTCTCCATTTGCTGCTCCCCACGCTCCGATTCCAGGCGCAGCACCCGGGCCTGCAGCTCCGCGGTCCGAAAGTGGGCGAGCAGGCTGAGCGCCAGCGAACACAGGGCCAGCGCCAGCAGCCCGCACGACCCCGGGCTCGGCAGCCGCGCGCAGCGCTCCGCCGGCGCCACCGCCAGCGCCACCGTCGCGGGCGCGCTTAGCTCCCCCGGGCCGCGGGCACCGGCGGCTGCCGCTTTGCGGGGGCGCTCGGCTACCATCCCCTTGCGTCTCGAGAACCAATAAATAAATAAATAGAATAAATAAAGGCGAGAGCCGCTGCCCAGAGGCGCGATCCAAGCTGCGGGCAAGGGGGGAAAAATGTCCCTTTCCTTTGCTCCCGGCAAAGACGATGGAAAAATTAGCGGCAGGAGGGGGACAGCCGAGAGAACACAACCAGCTGCCGCTGGCAGTACAGCGGTAGTAGACCCAGGTGAGGAGAGAGTTACTTCGAAGAACGTTCCAAGTCCAGGAAAGTTAGGGGAATCCGGCCGGCTCTCCTCTCCGCCCCGTTTCCCCCTTCAAGTATCTGCAGAGTCCCGGAGTTGGTTCCGCGCTGTCGGTCCTTCTTGGTGTCTCGCGTCTCCCGGGCGAGCCGGCTTCAGTCCCGGCGCGAAGGGGCGCACACCGAGGGCCCCATGGGCAGAGGTGGGTGGTGGCCGCCGCCGAGAAGCGTTGGGGCCGATTCCGGCGCCTCTGTAATTTGACACACTGGCTGCGGCCGAACGGATCGGATGAGCAATCCGTGCTACTTCCCAAACTAATCTCTCCCACCCCCTCCCTCCTCCTCCTCCTCCTCCTCCTCCTCCTCCTCCTCCCCTCTTCTCCTCCACCTCCTGCGGGGCCGACGGCTTGGATTTATTTATTTATGCAAACTCGCCCGGGGTGGGGGGCGTGGTGTGCTGGGCCCGCTGCCCCAACCCGCGGGCCCGGGAGCCCCTCTCCCGCGCTCCCTGTCCCCTTTGAAGTGACACTCGGGGTTATTTATAGGCAGGAAGGGGGTGTGGAGTGGAGCGGGGGCTCTACTTCGCTCCCTTTCTCCGGATTCACACCGAGGGCCCTCTGCCTTCCACCGAAGTGGAGGGGCCAGGCATCTCTCTGCTTTGGGACAAGTTGGCAAAGGCAGCCTTTGGGATCCTCCAAAGAACCTGGCTGAGTTATGGTCAGGCACCTAGATGGATCTCTATATCCTGAGCAGGAAGCTCTAAATCTTTTCTGCCACCATTGTCCCCCCCCCCCCCCAACGTGTCCCGGTGTCTCATTCCCTCCCCGCTCACCCCAAACCAGTTCCACCTTGGGCCCTGTACCTCCCGAGTCCTGCAGCTCTGTGGAGCCTTTGGTTGGGCTCATTCCACCTAGCACATCTTTAACGTCTTTACTCCGGGGTGAAAAGTCAGCCCTCCAGAGGGCAGAGGAATTGGCCTCCTTTTCTCTCTTTCGGGACCAAGATGTAACAAGGTACAGGAGAATGAAACTGAGCAAGAAGGCTTAATTCCAAACAAGGTACCTGAGAGTCAGGTCCCGGTCCCTCCCCTTCCTGCCTGTCATTGATCTGAGACCCATTCCATCCCGCCACTGTCGGAGGAGCCTGCCCCAATCCGCCCAGCCATCAAAGGTGAACTATTCTCAAGGGCACGCGCAGTCAGACTCTCTCCCTGCAAGAGTCCTTCTCTGGAGCTCACCCGCTCCCTCCTGCTGTCATTTCCTAGGCTCCTGTAGAGAGACACTGGTGGCCTGAGGGCAGTTTGTAGTTTCCTCTCCTGTCATTCCCCCACCTTCAGTAACATTTGTATCCCAAGAGACCTTATCTCCCTGCCACCGCATGACATTCTTGCAAATGAGGTGGTGGGATTGAGCTCTTGGAGAAAGCCTACTTCCCAGGAACAGGGGGCAGGGGACAAAAAGGCCGGCCTTTGAAATGTGAAATGCGGGTTGGGGTGACCAGAGTGTTGTGATTCCATTTTATAAAAGCAGGGTGTACAACTTGACAAGGTATATACTGACTTGGTGGGGCCTGATGTATAATAGAGTGACAAGGCACACCTAAGGGTGTAGCACATTTAGGGGAGTAACATAGTAACGTAGCGCTCATATGTAATAAACGCTTTAGCATTGCAGGCTTGGTCAGTCAGCCCCATGGGGGACTACAGGGATACCAAATTATGCTTGGGAGAGTGCTGTTGGCCAGGGGTTCCAGGTCAGCGCAAGCTCTAGCATTTCCCCGAGGTGGAACGCCGGGTAAGGCCGCCTGTGTTCCCCCCAGGGGAGATGGGTGCCTCCCCCCAGCCACTCAAGACGATCCCTGAGAGAACCCATGGGTGTTGGAGACCACCAGGGGGCGCCAGAGAATTTCTGCACTGAGATGCCTGCCAGAGATTCTGGGGCTTGGATTCTCTACCTCCACCCCCGACCGGCCCCCCAGGCTATTGGGAATGGAGGGACAGCACAGGGGGCTAGTTTCATTCCTTCCTTGTTCCGCGAGCTGATCTTTCCCCTTTGCGGACTTTAGGAGCCCTCAGGAATGCTCAGCCGGTGAGACCGTTGACTTGGAGCTGGAAACAAGGAGGAGGTGCAGTGCCAGCCTGACCCTGGCATCGCAAACCGCATGTCAGAACCTCAGGGGCTTCCAGGGGACTCCGGAGTCAGAGAAACCTGGGTATAAATCACAGCTGTGTCAAGCTTGGGCAGCTTAACGAGGTAATGCAGGAAAAGCGCTCAGCAAAGTGCTCGGGCACAGAGCAGGCCCTTGGAAATGGCATCTGCTTCTTCTTTGGGATTCATAGTTGCTGGTGCCAGCTAAGATACAGCTACTGCTGGGCTCCCCGTTGTGAAACAGAAAGAAATTTCAATCCCAAGGGAAAGCAGATGAGTCACAGACTCCATTTCCCCATCACTGAAAGCTGGGGGTAGCAGCTTGTAGGAGGCAGGCCTCAGTCTGAGTGGGGGGGGGGGGTGTCCTATCCCCCAATGTCCCTTCCCTTCTCTGTATACCGTCTGGGGAATTCTCCCTCCCAGCGAAGCATTGCTTACCATAGACACAAGGTAACTGGGCTTATCCCGAACACTCTTTCTGCAGAAGTGGGGGCTGGGAGCTACGGACACGGGGAAGAAAAGACCCTACTTTTCAGGAGCTCAAAATCCAGCAGGGAAGATTGGATATGTTCGAAAACAGCTGCCACGTAAGGCAGAACAGTGAAACATCCCCAAAACAGTGCGCGGGCCACAAGAAAGTGCTGCGGGGGTTCCCGGGAAGAAGGGCAGGGATCCTGTGGCTCAGGAAGAATTTCTTGTTTGTAGTAAGAAGTGGCTTTCAGCATTAACCCAAAGAGTTTGACTTTGCTCTGTGGCCATGCTTATACCCCTAGAGGAAACAGATATTCTGGATACCAGGATGGAAAGCTAAGGAAAAGTGCCCCTATGCACATGGGCTGTACTGTTTCCAAAGTGTTTTCTGTGTTTTTCTGCTTCCACGTATTTGCTCCTGCTGGACCCTTTTCCAGAAAGTCCATCCTTTGCTTACGGGCTCTGGGCACCTTAAAATCCTGTTGTTCTCTCCAAACCCAATTTTAGGGTGCAAACCCCACTTCTCCGCTTCTCAACCTCCCACTTCCTGAAAGCCTTACCGTCCCGGCAAGTGAGACCCCACTGCCTCGTCTACTCCTGTCTCTCCAGCCTGATTTTTAGAGTTTTTTTTAGAGATTTTGTAGAAAGAGATTTTTTTAGAAATTTTTAGAGATTCTGTAGAGTCCTCTACTTCTCCCCGTGTCAAAAATGGTGGTTACAACTCCTCAGGAGTCACAGAGTCGCTGCTGAGCTGTGCCACCCGCTTCAGAATCACCCATAGAGGCCACAGGAGTGCAGACACCTGTTGTTTTTCTCCTGAGCCTATTCTCACTTCTCCCCATGACCGTGGCTCAGGTTCCCTTGGGGGACCCCCCTACTCTCAGTCCATGTGGCTCTGATGGGATTGACCCCATGCCTAGCTCCTATCTTCTTTTTTTAAACATTTATTAATGTTTATTTATTTTTGGAAGGGGGGGGTAGAGAGAGAGGGAGACACAGAATCCGAAGCAGGCTCCAGGTTCTGAGCTGTTAGCACAAAGCCCGACGCAGGGCTCAAACCCACAAGCTGTGATATCATGACCTGAGCCTAAGTCGGTCGTTCAACCGACTGAGCCACCCAGACGCCCCTTGGCTCTTATCCTCTAAGGTCGGGAAGGGATGGTTATTTCTCCACAGCGGGCTTTCTAAGAGAGCACCAACCAGAGCTACAGGAGGCATCTTGCCACAGTTCATTAAGATCTTGCCTGAAAATGAAACGAGTGGAGAGGCAGGCAGAGATGCAGAGAGACTGAGTCCTGAAGATATGTAAACTCTTGGATCAAACTGGGCCTGAAACTCATCCAGGCCTGCACTCTTCTTTTAAAAAAAAATTTTTATGTTTATTCATTTTTGAAAGACAGAGAGAGACAGAGCACAAGCAGGGGTGGGGCGGAGAGAGAGGGGGACACAGAATCCGAAGCAGGCTCCAGGCTCCAAGCTGTCCGCACAGAGCCCGAGGCGGGGCTCAAACTCAGGAACTGCGAGATCATGACCTGAGCCGAAGTCGGATGCTCAACCGACTGAGCCACCCAGGGGCCCCAAGGCCTACCTACACTTTTCAATTACAGGAGTCATATTTGCTTAAGCTAGTGTGAATTGGGTTTCTTCTCCGAGCCCAGAGTCACAGATAGGGGCTCCCTTACAGAGCCAGAAGCTCTTTGTGGTCGTGGAAGGGGCACAGTAATCCCAGGCTCTCATCCTGTTTATAGAAGTTCCCTGGCAGATTGGGATGTGCGTGCAAGGTAGAAAGTCCCTGTGCTGAGCACTCCTCCTGGGGGATCGTGCCCCTCCTGAGCTCCGGTTTCTGTCTCTCGGATGATGATTCTCCAGTGCAGACCCACAGCCTGCGCCTAGCACTCCTCACGCACCTCCAGCTGCCTCCTGCCAGCTCCCTTAGGAGCTCCCTTCCCCGCCACCTCATGTCACACGGAGCATCCCCTGTTCTGCCTTCCTTCTGTTCCTCTGGCACGGCACTGGCATCATCCTGTGGCTCAGGCTGGATGTGTGCCTTTGCCCTCGTCCTTACTTCCTCCATCCAGTTGGGACCAACCCCTGTGGATTCTACCTCCTTAGTTTCTTTCAGATCTGTTCCTCCCTTCGGATCCCTTTGCTTCCATTGCCTGTCCCATGCCTAGCATACACCAACTCAACTTTCCCCCCATAGTAACCACAACTGGGAAACCTAACCCAAGGAAGCCTGGCCCAGGACCTGCCAGAACATTCCCCCATGCACAGCTTTTTCGCACTTCCTGTTCCTCATTTCGTCCTCAGGTTTTATGATCCCTGCCAGGCCGGCACCCCTCCCAGCTCTGCTTCTGATGCCTGCATGTGGTAAGCAACAAGATAGAAGGGGCCTGGGCCCCTGGTGGCTTTGTGGGATTGAGTTGCCAGACAAGCCCAGACTTTCATGTGAGGGAGAAGTAACCTGTCTCAGCTGAGCCACAGACTACTTATTCTGGTCTGTCTCGTGTAGCCTAAACCACATCCCATGACCTGTGTCAATCCTCTCCCCGAGGGTGTGTGTTGCTAGACAGCAGGCGTGGACCATGTTTATTTCTGTATGCTCAGCACTCGGCCCAGTGAAAACGCCCCCAGAGATGGTATTTGAATGAATGAATGAGCGAATGAATGGATGGATGGATGAACTCCCAA